ACAAACGATTCTTCCCTCTAGATCGAACATTCGGCAGAAATGATTGTGAAATCCAAACGTAATTGGTCTCTTTGTGATTATAGGGAATAAAATTTGCAGCCTAGGCTTGAAACTTATGCAACATGCAAGGAAGATTTTTTGATAGACTATTTAAGAGGGCACCATTGTAACACGTTTCAATGAATAATTCAACTACTTTTTTTNTTAGGTTTTTACAATTTAATTTAGTCTTCTTTCTATCCTCCGACTCCACATATCACTCTCTGTTTCATATAAATAATTCAAAGTTTATGCTTAGATTTCTCATCTCGAGAAAAAGATGATCATGTTTCTAATGTTAATCTTATAGAATATTTTTTCTAACGATGAAAAGAAGAGATTTTCCAATTATCTAGAGAGGTAAGAATGTAAATTTTTGTTTTTTTCTACTTTTATGTTATTAGATTCATATAAAGATTTAGTCCTTTTCTTTTCAATTTGCTATATTATTAGTTTTATGGATAGTATAACTTTTTGTTCTAAGTAATGAATTTTATGCTCTTCTCTTTAGTTTTTTCTTATTCGGGTTTTCTTTGTATCAATTGGGTTTTCTATTCTTNTTTTTTGTTGACTATGATCATTCTTGTGTTTTGTACTAAAATGTGGACTGTTTTGAAATTGTTCTTTAGGATCTCAGAGGCTAATGCAGAAAATTTGACACTCATTGTCAACTCGAATTTGTTACACTTCTAATCCATTGAAAGAGTGCATTCTTACAACTTCTAGGTCACCGACACAACAAACATAATTAACCACCAGTATAATGGGCATATCTCTCTCCGCCGATAGCTAGACACAGTTGCTTTTGTTCTATTGTCGCTGTTCAGAGCCGCATGTGTTTTATGTTATAAATGTTTTGGAGTTGTTTGGGTATAAATATGGGTTTGAAGAAGAATAACATGGCGAGAAACAAAATCGGTACCTGACAAAATTTTCTTCTCGATTGTTCAGAGAGAAGTGTGAAAACTTTTATGAAGTCTTTTATTCTTCGTTTACTGTTTTAAAATATCAAAGTTTGTGACTTTTGTGGATTTGGGTTTGTATTTTATAGTCTTGGTGTTAATCAATTAATCCAAAGTTAAGACTCTTGAAAATTTCTCTTTTAGAAAACATAAAAAATCAAATTGGACGTACAACGTAATAATACATAACTGTTAGGTTTCATTTTTCTTGGTAAGTAGTTATCTTTTAATATTGTTAAATAATGTTTGTGCAATAAACTGTAATTTAGTTGAAATAGCATTTGTAAAGTTTGGATGTTTATGGGTGATCGGTCTAAAGCCCATACGAAATATAGATGATAACTCCGATAACAAATTATCTTTTTTACGAACCACATGAAAAAGCTAGAGCAATTCTTATTAAGTTTTCTTGCAACAAATCTCTCATAAGACTGAACAAATTTCGAAGAAAACTTTGTTGGAAATTCCCAGAAGAAAACTTGGAAGCCAAACCTTCAACCATAACCCCAACATCGAGTTTCACCTTCTATTCCCGACGGTGAGGTCGTTCTCATGGCCCCATGGCTTTCACGGATGATTTCCCACTGACACAAAATTGTTACAGACGAAATAATATAATCTTACTTTTACGTCCTAAAAGTGTTATTATGTTGAGTTTGAGTAACAAAACTTTGACTTTTGCGTTTTATGATTCTAATTGAGTTATCTCACATCACTAAGTCTCAAAAAATAAAAACTAACAAAAGATAAAAGTATTGTTTTAAAGAAAAACGATGAGAATGAATTTTCAAAAGAGAGATTCTTAGAACTTTTTATTAGAATCTTTTAACATGGGAAACATGTCTTTTTCTAAGTGTCTCAGGTTTTTATTAAAACAAATCAAATACACAGTAGTATAAAATAGTAATTAAATAATTTATATGTAGTTAGTTATTTATATTTTATAAAATAAAATTGTGTATTATCAAGCTCTATTATGCAAAAGTTTAAATTATACTTCAAATCATATTTCATAATATTAATGTTTGTGCCAAATTTGNTTAAAATTTTCAACTGTGAGAACAATAGAGTATGTTTTTTCTCGGAGTGTCCCTGACAGACTAGGCTAGCTTTATAATCATATGTCGTCAAAGTAAACACCA